CCCAAGGTGCCCCCAGCTTGTCGCTCCATTTTGGGCCCCCTGGGGCCCTCTGGGCCTCGTGAGGGGTGCCCTGGAGGCCGTCTGGGTCACCCCGAGAATCCTGGGGGTACCTTGGGCCAGGGGTACTTCTAGCAACACCCGAAGACATCCTCCCGAGCCGCCGGATATCAGGGATTCTCGACTTCTCCCCACCAGATATTCTCATCGTCCTGGCTTCGTCGTGCCGCCTTCCCCCCCCGCTCTGCGCGTGGCTGGCCCTCCCCGATGGGCCGATGTTCCATCACCACTGCCATAGGTAGAACGGGGGAGAAGGGAGGATGGGGAGCTCCTCCTCCTCCTCCTCCTCCTCCTCCTCTTCCTCCTCTTCCACCTCCCCCGCGTCCTCCTCCTCCTCCTCCTTCCTTTCCTAACTATGGCCCCAGACCCCAAACGCCATTTTTTATTCACAATTAAGTAGCGTCGACACCCGGAGGTCCCGACCAATCCCGGGACTTGTTTTTCGGCCTGAGTCGTTTTCTGACGGCCTCCCGGTCCCAGCGGCCGAAACCGGCGAACAGCTTCCGTCGTGCTCTTCTCGCGACGGGGCCCCCACTCACTCACTCACTCATGGCGGTCGATCGTCGTCGTGCAGCCACCTGTCCTGCCCCTCCACCTCGGCTGCGGGCCCGAAAAAGGTAGGAAACGAAGCGATGTAGAGAGCATCGGATCACTAACAATGAGGTGGTGGAAGTGGGAGGCGCCAAATGTAAAACGGGACCCCTGGTGCCCCTCCCGCGAGCTGCGCGGGCGGCGCGCGCATGCGGCCGCGGCGGCGGCGGCCGCCCGCGCGGGTCAGGCGCCCATCGTGGCCCGGGCGGGGGCGGGCTGGAGGGTTCCAAAGGCGGTTTTTGGGGAGGGAGTCTTCCAGGAGGGGCCCCCCAGACCTCGGAACCTTGTCAAAACAGGGGGTGCGAAGCCCCTGGGGGACACCTCCTGGAAAACCCCCTCCCCCAAAACCGGGGATCTTCTGACCCGGGTTAATCCAGACCCGTGTCAGTCAGCCCTTGCAGAACCCTGCAAGACCCTGCGCCCAGACCCAGTTCAACGCGAAGGATCCTGCAAGATCCTGCAGGATTCTGCACCCAACACCGGGTCAATGCGACCCTGGCCCAGCAGGATCCTGCAAGATGGGGCGCTCTGGCTGACCCCCGTTTGCATTGACCCCCGTCTTCAAGGGCTCCCAACTTCGCGCTTCGCGCTGCGCGAAGCGCGAAGTGCGAATAACTTCGCGCTCTCGCGCCGCCTCCCAAGGGAGAAAGGGAGGATGAGGAGGAATCGGAGCCGAACCGCGAAGCGCGAATAACTTCGCGCTCTCGAGGGCGTCCTTGGTCTCGAGGCTCCCGAACAAAAAAACCCTTTGGAACCCTCCGGGCGGGGGAGCAAGCAGGCGCGCGGGGGCGCCCCCCCCCCCGGCGACTGCGGGGAGACGCGGCGGCGACGAGCCAGAGAGAGAGAGAGAGAGGAAGGGGCGGCCCTGCTCCTCCCCTGCCACACAGGAGTGCGCCCTCTCTGGACCTCCTCCTGGGAGTGCCTCCTCCTCCTCCTCCTCTTGCTCCTCCTCCTTCTCCTCCTCCTCCTCCGCCGCCTCCTCCCTCCTCCTCCTCCTCCTCCTCCTCTTCCTCCTCCTCCTCCTCCTCCTCCTCCTCCTCCTCCTCCCCTCCTCCTTCTCCCCTCCTCCCACTCCTCCTCCTCCTCCTCCTCCTCTTCCTCCTCCTCCTCCTCCTCCGCCCTCCTCCTCCTCCTCCTCCTCCTCCTCCTCCTCCTCCTCCTCCTCCTCCTCCTCCTCCTCCTCCTCCTCCATTCCGTGTCCTTCTGAAACAGCCCCACCCTGTCGCACACCGGAGCGTGTCGGCAGAGCGCGCCTGCCTCGTCTCCGCGGCGGGCGAGAGGGGGGCGTCGGGAGGGGGCGAGGGGAGCGAACCCAGACCCCCTCGCGTCGCGAAACAAACGCGACGGCGCATATGTTTGCTGTCTTCCTGAGCATGTTCTTAGGGTGGAGGGCTCAGGGTGAAATCCACATGGGCTTATACACCTCGAAGGTCAATCCGCCTCGTGACTCCCCTCCTGCAGACTCGAGCCTCGAAGGTCCATCGAAACGGCATTTCAGATTTCACCCTTTGCCCTCCACCCAAAAATTACCCTGTGACGTACCCAACCCATTTGTATCAATGGAAACGAGGAGTTGGCCGAAACTTGTATGGACAATCAACTTGAGGTGTAAGCTACTTGGGAGGCGTCACTGTGCTGGGCCCCGCAAGCAGGCCTCGAAAGTGGCCACAGTTTCACAGATCGCAGCCCCCCAGGGATGGCGAGGTCTAATTTGAATCCGCGGTGACTACCCACTGTGCTGGGCCCCCCAGCAGGCCTCGAAAGTGGCGACAGTTTCACATATCGCAGCCCCCCAGGGATGGCGAGGTCTAATTTGAGTCCGCGGTGGGTACCCACTGTGCTGAGCCCCCCAGCAGGCCTCGAAAGTGGCGACAGTTTCACAGATCGCAGCCCCCCAGGGATGGCGAGGTCTAATTTGAGTCCGCCGTGTGTACCCACTGTGCTGGGCCCCCCAGCAGGCCTCGAAAGTGGCGCCAGTTTCACAGATCGCAGCCCCCCAGGGATGGCGAGGTCCCATTTGAGTCCGCCGTGGGTACCCACTGTGCTCACCCGGAGTCCACGCGGCGAAAATCAAAGAATGGACGGTGATCCCCACGCCATCTTCGCGTGCGGGGCGGGGCTGGGGGAACGGCATGGGCGGGCGGGGCGTGGTTCCCCCCCCCCCCCCCGCCTCCTGGTCCCCGTCTGCCTCCGCTTCCCCCGTCCATCCCCCTCGCGCGGCGCAGCGGCCGGCGTGATCTGGGTGCACATGCAGGAAGCGAGTTATCCCAACGTCGATTCCAAATTTGGTGCATTGCTCGAAAGCCAAGGCGCCTGGCCCACAGCTGGCCCACGGGAGGGTCGTTACTTTTTTGCGACCAAGGCGCTCGGTCGACGGCTAGCTCACAGAGCCAGCAGAGGCCTCCAGCCCGCTTGGAGGCACGCCATCCTTGTGAAGGTCACCGCTTTTTGAAAAACCAATGCGCCTGGCCCACGGAGCCGGTAGAGCCCTCCAGCCCGCCAGGAGAAGCACCATCCATGTGAAGCTCGGCACTTTCCGAAAGCCGAAGCGCCCGGCCCACAGCTGGCAGGCCCCCAGCACACCAGGAGGGGCGCCATCCCTGTGAGGGCCGTTGCTTTTCGGAAGAAAAAAACGCCCGGGCCACACCTGGCCCACAGAGCCGACAGGAGCCCTCCAGCCCGCGGAGCGCCGTCCATGTGATGGTCGCCACTTTCCGAAAGCCGAAGCGCCCGGCCCACAGCTGGCCCACAGAGCCGGCCCACCAGGAGAGGCGCCATCCTTATGAGAGTCGCCGCTTTTCGAAAACCGAAGCGTCTGGCCCACAGCTGGCCCACAGAGCCGGCAAAGGCCTCCAGAAGGCCACCCCGAGGCCCGAAATATCCCCCAACCGATCAGACATCTCGGTCCTCGTCCTCCTCCTCCTCCTCCTTTTCCTCTTCCTCCTCTGATCCTCCTCGTGGCAGCGCGAGAGAAGAGGCAGAAGAGCAAACAACAACTAAATAAACTTAAACTTTCGGAGGGGCGCGCAGATTTCTTGGGTCGGCGTCGGCCTTCCCCTAGCCGCGCCGCCAGCGCCGCTCTGAGATCTCCGCGAACACCTCTGAAAACTTATGCTTATGACATCTTTTTGTTCTCCGGCTGCACGGAAGACGTGACCCCAAGCAAGAATGAGTCCCTGGTGCGCAGCTCCTGGAGTGCCTGGGCAAGGCCAAACCCAAGCGCGCAAGCCGCTGCGACCGCACCGCTTTCAGCGATCGGGGGATGTTTTATGGGGAAACCAAAAAGGTACCGACCCCCGACCCCTCCCAAGGTGCGTTCTGACCAGAATCTCGAGGCAAGTTCAGCCGTGGTGGCGAGGGCCTCCCCCGAGGCCCGAAAGGGCGAGAACGAGAGCCAGATAGCGACATGGGTTCCTCCTCTGACCTACGGTTAGGTCGGGCTTGTCCCCCTACAGGCGGATTTTGGAGGACAAAAGAAAGCATACTCCAGAAATATACATAAACAGTCGAGCATACTCCAAATTCGTCCTCATAATTCCCTACCTAGGCTCTGCCTAGAAAGGTTCTTACTCTCTTAGCTTACAGGGGCCGGGCAGTGGAAAGCGCCCCGGGCGGTTCCCCCAGTCCCCGCCCCGCGGTTCCCCCCAGTCCCCTGGGAGCTTTAGCTTTAGCTTTAGCTTTAGCTTAGCTTTAGCTGAGCTGTAGCTTAGCTTTAGCCTAGCGTTTCGCTTAGCTTTTCGCTTAGCGTTTAGCTTAGCTTTAGCTTAGCTTTAGCTTAGCTGTAGCTTAGCTTTAACTTAGCTTTAGCTGAGCTTTAGCTTAGCGGTAGCTTAGCTTTAGCTTAGATTTAGCTTAGCTTTAGCTTAGCTTGAGCTTAGCTGTAGCTTAGCTTTAGCTTAGCTGTTGCTCAGCTTTAGCTTAGCTTTAGCTTAGCTTTAGCTTAGCGTTAGCTTAACTTTCGCTTAGCTGTGGCTTAGCTTTAGCTTAGCTTTAGCCTAGCGTTAGCTTAACGTTCGCTTAGCTGTGGCTTAGCTTTAGCTTAGCTGTAGCTTAGCTTTAGCTTAGCGTTACTGTTACTACTAATGCTGCTTTCCTAGGGGTTCCAACTCCTAGGTAGGGTCGCACTGGGATAATTTGTATTTTCTAATCGTGTTTTGAATATTCCCCGACGTGCCCGAGTTTAACCTACGGCCAGGAACTTTTGCTTGGAGTGTCGCGGCGGCGACCCTGGCGAGACGCTATGCTCTGCAAAGAGACAGTGCGTCGCTCCGCTCCGCCGGGCGGGAGGCCTGGAACAACTCTAGACGGCGACGCTCGGGGACTGGGACGTGGACGGCGTGCCGCGCCGACGCGTGGAGGGCCAGAACCCGCGGAGCGCCACGCTGAGCCAGAGCTCCCGACCGCAGAGCACACGCCCACGCCTACGCGCACCGGCATGCACTGGCTTCGCTCTGCCTTCCCCTTGCGGCCTGCGGGCCCCTCGTCCTCCAAAGCTCTGTGGCCCGTGCCCCCGCGGCCACAAGCCGACATTCCCGGCCGTACAGTCAAGTTGTATCAGAAGGATGCGCGGCAAGGATGCAAGGGGCTTGGACACCCATCCCGAGGCTTCTCGAGCGGGGCGCGGCCAACGAAAGTGGCGAAGGATGGGCCGAGGAGGCAAGGATGCAAGGGCACCCTTGGAAAGCTGACCCCTCCTTCTCATCTATTCCGACTGCACGTGCTCCCAATTCGACTGGAAGCTTGCCCATCCTTGCTGTGCGGGTTGACTGGAAGGTGGTCGGCTAGACGTAAGAGTGACCCTGGGCAAGAGTGACCTCTGGTGCGCAGCTTTTGGGGGCGCGAGGGAGCCAAACCCGAGGGCGCGGGCCGCTTACACCGCATCGCGCTCGGCGATCGGGGGCAGCAGGAGGAGGAGGAGGGAGGAGGAGGAGGAGGAGGAGGAGGAGGAGGGAGGAGGAGGAGGAGAGGAGGAGGAGGAGGGAGGAGGAGGAGGACGAGGGGAGGAGGAGGAGGAGGGAGGGAGGGAGGGAGGGAGGAGGAGGAGGAGGAGGAGGAGGAGGAGGAGGAGGAGGAGGAGGAGGAGGAGGAGGAGGAGGTTGACTGGAAGGTGGGCCCGCACCAGGGGTCCCTCCGGCACGGGGCCACCGCCCCCTGCGGGGGCGGCCGAGGAGCTCTTCGCGAGGGCGCCGGCCCGCTGGGGGCACACCGCCGGGCTCGCGCCCGTGAAGAGAGGTCTGAGGAGGGCTCCCCGCAGCGGCGGGCGCCGGGGCGCCTGCGCGGTGCCCCTTCCCGCGGCTGGGACGAAGGGGCCCCCGTGGCATCGTGCGGCAGCCTCGGCCAAAGAGGCCGTAGCAGGAGATGAGGACGAGGATGAGGATGAGGATGAGGATGAGGATGAGGATGATGATGATGATGATGATGATGATGATGATGATGATGATGATGATGATGAAGATGATGATGATGATGATGATGATGATGATGATGATACTGATGATGATGATGATGATGATGATGATGATGATGATGATGATGATGTTGTTGATGTTGTTGATGATGATGATGCAGATGAGGATGAGGATGATGATGCTGATGCTGATGCTGATGATGATGGTGATCAGGATGAGGATGAGGATGATGATGATGAGGATGAAGATGAGGATGATGAGGATGAGGATGAGGATGATGCTGCTGCTGCTGATGATGAGGATTATGCTGCTGCTGCAGCTGCAGCTGCTGCAGCTGCAGCTGCTGCTGCTGCTGCTGCTGAACGTGATGATGATCATCATCAGGTTGATGCTGCTGCTGCTGATGATGATGATGGTGATGATGATAATGATGATGAGGGTGAGGATGAGGATGAGGATGAGGATGAGGATGATGATGATGATGATGATGATGATGATGATGATGATGATGATGATGATGATGATGGTGATGGTGATGACACTGGTAGTGATGATGATGGTGGTGATGATGAGGTGGGGGAGGAGGAGGGGAGGAGGGTAGCGATGCCGCTGCTGTTGTCCACGTTTTTGCCTTTTTGGGCCTCTGGGGCGGCACTCGTCGCCACGGCTGGCTTCGCCTGGAAATTCTGGTCAGAACGCAGCCTGGAAGAGGTCCGGGAACTGGCGGTATCGGTGTCTACTGGTTTCCCCAGAATGGAACAGTAGGATGCGGATGCGGATGTGGATGATGATGATGATGAAGAGTAGGAGGAGGAGGAGGAGGAGGAGGAGGAGGAGGAGGAGGAGGAGGAGGAGGAGGAGGAGGAGGAGGAGGAGGAGGAACAACTCCCATGTACATACCAATACATATCAACGCGGTTAATTTGAACTTCCACCGCATCGACGATAATCCCAGAGAGCATCTGCTAGCCGAAACTGGCATCTGGCTCCGCGACGTCGCATACCATAACAAATTGTTACAACTGGTTGCAACGTTTACCCACGGAGAAAATGTCATGCAATACTGCATGATCCGAGATATCAAATCGGCCTTACGCAACCACTTTGAGGGTCTTTACGGACAACGCATCAACGTATATAAGGCCAAACGGCCAAACCAATAAAAGGAACTTGCGGAGTTACAAACGATGACCGCCCTGAAGGACTACACTACTGGCAGGAATCACCACAGCTCCTGCGAGATGGCTACTGGCATGCTACTAAAACTATACATCCAGATGGAGAGCCAGCCATACGATTCGGCAATGAGGTTCCACAACTATATGCCATGGGACCTGGAGAAGGAGGACTACGTCACGCTCGAGACCGATACAGGCTCACCTGCTACTGGCTGACTCAAAACGGTGATAGAGGAGGAGGAGGGGGCGGAGGAGGAGGATAAGGAGGAAGAGGAGGAGGAGGAGGAGGAGGAGGAACAAGAGGAGAAGGAGGAGGAGGAGGGAGGAGAAGGAAACGGAGGAGGAGGACGATGAGGAGGAGGAGGAGGGAGGAGGAGAGGAGGAGGAGAGGAGGAGGAGGATGTTGATGATGATGATGAGGAGGAGGAGGAGAAGAAGGATGAGGAGGAAACGGAGGAGGAGGAGAAGGGGGAGGAGGAGGAAGAAGAAGAGAGGAGGAGGGGCGGAGGAGGAGGAGGAGGAGGAAGAGGAGGAGGAGGATGAGGAGATGGAGGAGGAGGAAACAGGAGGATAAGTGTAAGGGGAGGAGGAGGAGAAGGAGGAGGAGAGGAGGAGCAGGAAGAGGAGGAGGAATAGGGGAGGAGGAGGAGGAGGCGGAGGAGGAGGAGGAGGAGGGAGGAGTGCGGAGTGATGATGATGATGATGATGATGATGAGGAGGAGGAGGAGGAGGAGGAGGAGGAGGAGGAGGAAGGGGAAGGAATAGACGGAGGAGGAGGAGGAAGAAGGAGGATACACACATAAGGAAGGAACGCAGGACGGAAAACAGGAAGGAACATCGGAAGTAAGAGAAGAAAGATGAGGAGGAAGAGGAACAAGGAAGAAAGACGGAAAGAAGGGATGACGGAAGGACGGAAGGAATGCAGGAAGGACGGAGGAGGAAGCAATGAGGAGGAAGCGGAGGAGGGGGGGGGGGAGGAGGAGGAGGAGGAGGATGAGGAGGAAGAGGAGGAGAAGGAGGAAGAGGAGGAAGGCGACCAGTATAAACCCAAGGGACATCAACGATGTTTGCATACACCCTCCCTCCAAACACCCTTTTCATAGGCCCCTGCACGGTTCATCCGCTGAGGGAACTGCCTCGTTGGAAGACAAGGGCTGGAAAAGCCTGAAGCATGCCAACACATTGTTCTCGGGACTCCAACGCCACGGGCCAACCTGACTGTTGCGTCTTGGCGATATGTACTCGTGCCAGAACGCCATTCCTAGGACTTCAGCACCGCGAATCAACGTAACTGTTCCACCCCCATATGAATCTTTCCCAACCACCATTTCTGGTACGTTGACCATGGGAATCCGTGACACTCCTGAACTTTTCCCAACCATCCTGTGGTGTTGGGTCCTCGTTTTGAAGAGACGGTCCTCGCGTTCCTTTCCTCATCTCCTCCTCCTCCCCTCTCCTCCCCCTCCTCCCTCCTTCCTGCGTTTTCACCCACCCAATACAGCGTTTCGTGACCCCATAAAGGGGGCTCCACAGAAGGTCCCAGTGGCACCGCCCGCATGCGTCCGCCACCACCCAGCACAGCCCTTGCTCCCTGCGTTTCACCCACCCAGTACAGCGTTTCGTGGTCCCACAGAAGTCTCCACCGAAAGTCCCAGTGGCACCGCCCGCATGCGTCCGCCACCACCCAGCACAACCCTTGCTCCCTGCGTTTCGCCCACCCAGTACAACGTTTCGTGGCCCCATGGGGGTCTCCACCGAAGGTCCCTGTGGCACCGCCCGCATGCGTCCGCCACCACCCAGCACAGCCCTTGCTCCCTGCGTTCCACCCACCCAGTACAACGTTTCGTGGCCCCATAAAAAAAAGGGCTCCGCCGAAGGTTCCGGTGGCACCGCCCAGATTCGTCCGCCACCACCCAGCACAGCCCTTGCGCCTTGCGTTTCACCCACCCAGTACAGCGTTTCGTGGCCCCATAGGGAGCTCCACCGAAGGTCCCAGTGGCAGCACCCGCATGCGTCCGCCACCACCCAGCACAACCCTTGCTCCATGCGTTTCGCCCACCCAGTGCAGCGCTTCGTGGCCCCATAGGGGCTCCACCGAAGGTCCCACTGGCACCGCCCGCATGCGTCCGCCACCACCCAGCACAGCCCTTGCTCCCTGCGTTTCACCCACCCAGTACAGCGTTTCGTGGCCCCATAAGGGGGCTCCACCGAAGGTCACAATGGCACCTCCAGCATGCGTCCGCCACCACCCAGCACAGCTTTTGCCCCCTGCGTTTCACCCACCCAGTACATTGTTTCGTGGCTCCATAAGGAGCTTCACCGAAGCCCCCAGTGGGACCTTCCGCATGCGCCCCGGAAGCCCAAGTTGGATTCTCACCCACCCGGTACAGCGTTTCGTGGCCCCATAGGGAGCTCCACCGAACCGTCCGCATGCGTCCCACACACCCAGTGCGGCGTTTTCACCCACCCAGTACAGCGTTTCGTGGCACCATAGAAGCTCCACCGGCGGCCCCAGTGCTACCGCCCGCATGCGTTCCCCCCACCCAGTGCAGCGTTTCGTGGCCCCATAGGGAGCTCCACCGAAGAATATTTTCACAACTGCGGTACCCACAACTGCATATGGTTGAATCTTTCGCCAAGATAATTAAGAAGGGCTGTGCGCGGCGCTGTGGAAGGACCGCAACTTGAAAACGAACCGCCCTAAATCCGTGAAGCTCTTGCATTTGTTGAAACGAATGTGCGCGGCGCTAAGTCGAGAACCACAAGTTGAACATCACCCGCCCTCAATCTGTGAAGCTCTCGCACATTTAAAAACGAATGTGCGCGGCGCTGAAGCGAGAACCACATGTTGAAAACCACCCACCATCAATCCCTGAACCTCTGGCAATTTTGAGAACGAATGTGCGCGGCGCTACGGTGAGCCACATTTTGAAAACCGCTCGCCCTCCATCTGTGAAGCTGTTGCCATGTTTCCCAACCGTCCTGTGTTGGTCCTCGTTTTGAAGAGACACCGCCCCGAGTTACTCCTCCTTCCTTCCTCCTCCTCCTCCTCCTCCTCCTCCTCCCCCTCCTCCTCCTCGTCATCCTCCCCCTCCTCCCTCCTCCCCCTCCTTGCCTCTGCCCTCCGCATGTCCACTTCGGCACAACCCTCACACGGTTCGTGGCTCCATAGGGAGCTCCACCGAAGGCCCCAGTAGCCGCGTCCGCATGCACCCTCCCCCCGCCCATCGCATGTCCATTCTGGCTCACCCCTCACACGGTTCGTGGCCCCATAGGGAGCTCCACCGAAGGCCCCAATGGCCGCGTCCGCATCCGTCCTCCCCGCCCACCGCATGCCCATTTCGGCACACCCTCACACGGCTCGTGGCCCCATAGGGAGCTCCACCGAAGGCCCCAGTGTCTGCGTCCGCATGCGTCCTCCGCGCCCACCGCATGCCCATTTTTGGCACACCCCTCACACGGTTCGTGGCCCCTAAGGCAGCTCCACCGAAGGCGCCAATGCACCCCTCACACGCTTCGCGGCCCCATAAGGAGCTCCACCGAAGGCCCCAATCGCTGCGTCCACATGCCACCCAACCGCTCATTTCGGCACACCCGTGCAGAGGCCCCAAGAGGCGCCCAGACAGGCCCAATGTCGTCATCGTCGTCGGAGGGAGGAGGACGGAGGAGGGAGGAGGACGAGGAGAGGAATCGGAGTGAGGATGCGTGCGCTCCTTCCGAATTTCCTCTTCCCGCTGCGGGCCGCCCGTTGCATCCACGGTTCGTGGTCCCATAAAGAGGCCCGTAGAAAGATGGACCCGAAACGCGGTATCCACGACTGCTTATGGTTGGGTCCGTCGTCCGGAAAAGTTGAGCTTCGGGGTCATACATGGTGGGGAAGTCTCTGGCGAAACGCCCCGCCCGCCCATTCGACTGGCCTCTGGATGCGACAGGGAGAAATCATTTGTAAGGAAAAGGAATGGCGGAGGAGGACGAGGAGGAGGAGGAGGAGGAGGAGAAGGAGGAGGAGGAGGAGGAGGGGAGGAGGAGGAGGATGAGGATGAGGAGGAGGAGGAGGAGGAGGACATGGAGGAGGAGGAGAGGAGGAGGAGGAGGAGGAGGAGGAGGAGAAGGAGGAGGAGGAGGAGGAGGAGGAGGAGGAGGAGGAGATGGAGGAGGAAGATGAGGAGGAGATGAGGAGGATATGGAGGAGGAGGAGGAGGAAGAGAGGAGGAAGAGAAGGCAGAGAAAGAGGAGGAGGAGGATAAGGAGGAGGCGGAGGCGGAGGCGGAGGAGGAGAGGAGGAGGAGGAGGAGGAGGAGGAGAAGAGAAGGAGGAGGGGGGGAGGAGGAGGAGGAGGAGGAGGAGGAGGAGGAGGAGGAGGAGGAGGAGGAGGAGGAGGAGGACATGGAGGATGAGGAGGAGGAGCAGGAGGAGGAGGATGAGGAGGAGATGGAGGAAGGAAGATGAGGAGGAGATGAAGGAGGAGATGAAGGAGGATATGGAGGGAGGAGGAGGAGGAGGAGGAGGGAGGAGGAAGAGGAGGAGGAAGAGAAGGCAGAGAAGGAGGAGGAGGAGGAGGAGAAGGCGGAGGCGGAGGCGGAGGCGGAGGCGGAGGAGGAGGAGGAGGAGGAGGAGGAGGAGGAGGAGGAGGAAGATGAGGAGGAGGAGAAGGAGGAGGACAAGGAGAAGGAGGAGGAGGGGAGGAGCAGGAGGAGGAGAGGCGGAGGAGGAGGGAGGAGGAGGAGGAGGAGGAGGAGGAGGAGAAGGAGGAGGAGGAGGAGGAGGAGGAGGAGGAGGTTGAGGAGGAGGAGGAGGAGGAGGAGGAGGAGGAGGAGGAGGAGGGAGGAGGAGGAGGAGGAGGAGGAGGAGGAGGAGGAGGACATGGAGGAGGAGGAGCAGGAGGAGGAGGATGAGGAGGAGATGGAGGAGGAAGATGAGGAGGAGATGAAGGAGGAGGAGGAGGAGGAGGAGGAGGAGGAGGAGGAGGAGGAGGAGGAGGAGGAGGAGGGACTGCTGCCCGGCCCCAAGCCCGATTGCGGGGTCGCCGCCGGGCGCTCGTGGCGGCAGGGCCGCTCGGCCCCGGGACGCCTGCGCGTCGGCTGGCCCGCCAGCCCTCAGGGAAGCAGCTGCCGATGGCCGCCTGGGATCGTCGTCGTCGTCGTCGTCGTCGTCGTCGTCGTCCGGAGAGGAGGCTACCCCTGTAAGTGTGGGAAGCTCCTCCCTCCCTCCTCCGGCTGTGGGCGCACGGGGACGACCCTTGTCGCACCTCCACGAGACTGCCGACACCACCTCCGGGAACAGGAATGGGCCGCCCTCGTGCTCGTGTCTTTTTGGGGGGACCGGAGACCACGGCCGGACGCAGCTCGAAAGGCTGGTCAGGAGGGTGCCTAGGAGGAGTCGGGTGGGCAGAAATGGGGGGGAGGGGGCTGCTTTTGGAAAAGAAATGAAGGGAGGGCCATGCGCCCCAGGGCGCTTCGGCGCGGCTCAGGCGAGCACGAAAGAGAGGTCGATCACGGACAGCATGTGGATGCATTTGTTTAGGCCATTCTAACCAGGGCGCCCCAGTTCTCCGAACGTGCAGGTCGTTCATGGGCGTCAGGGTCTTGGGGTGAAACACATAATCACGCAGTGGACAGTGTTCGCGACCCTGGGTAGCCTTGCAATGCGAAAACAATTGGTGCGTAAGCACAAGTATTAGTGATGGGACTCTGTCTGGAGGGGGGGAACATCGGCCTGGACTCGGCGACACATCGCCGGCACATCGCTGACAGGCATCTGACAGCGAAACCGCACGTTTCTCGGCGGGGTGGGCTACCCGGGCCCGTGTCGGCGATGCATGAGCGATTGGGGGTCGATGCGCCCTCCCGAGCCCCCCCCCCCTAGCGTTGCCCCTGCATTCATCGCCGATGCGGGCCCGATTGCCCGCCCCGCCGGGGAAGCTGCGCATTCGTGCTCGGACGCCTGTTGCCGATCCCTCGGCGATTGCGTCGCCGACTCCAGGCCGAGCATCCCCCCTGAGCTGGTCCCGCCCTGACGCTGCCCCTGAAAGCTCGGGGGACGGCTCTTGAACGGGCCAGGAGGACCCGGGGCCCCCCCTCGGCACGGGACGCGATCAACTGTGCGGCGGCCGCCTCCTCTGCGGCGGCTCTCTCGAGGCCCGCGTGCCTCCGGAGGCCCGGGGGCCATCGAAGCCGGCCCCCGCAGGGCGCCTGGGAGCACGAGGGGCGCAAGAGGAACAACCACAGAGGGACTGTGGGCTCCGGAGCAGCGCGCCCCTTCCGAACCCAAGCTGTTCCTCATCCCAACGTCCTCTCTGTGCAGTGGAGGCCATTCCACAAGAAACCGCCCACAAGAAACCCAACCCGAAGGCCCCAGGACGTCCATTGATTCTTGGTGCGGGAGCGCCACGCTTTCCACAGCAAAACGGTCGAACCCCGAGAAGCCCAGGGCACCCTGGAGGCAAGCAGGGTGTTTCTTGGCCTGGGCCCCCACTGTTCGGGTGTTGCTAAGACTACCCCTGGCCCAGGGTCCCCCCGGGATTCTCGGGGTGGCCCAGACGGCCTCCGGGGCACCCCTCACGAGGGCCGGAAGGCCCCAGGGGCTCCAGAATGGAGCGAAGAGCCGGGGGCACCTTGGGCCAGGGGCACTTCTAGCAGCACCCCGAACTGCGCCCCCCGTTCCTGCCCCCCGGTCTTCACGGCCTGCACGCGTCTCCCCGGTGTTCCACAACACAGTTGCGGAGAACTCGGGCTGATGCCGGCGGTGGCAATCACAGGCGAGTGCTGTGACGAGGAAAGGCCCCCGAGCATCTCGAGCACAGTTCGGAAGTGCACGAGTGGGGAATCCAGGGCGCGGGGCGCGCTGTCCTTGAGGTCGCAGTCTTTGGGAAAAAAGTACTCGTACGTGTCCTGCTCCGCCCCTGTCCAAGGCGTACCTTTTCCTGCACTTCCACTTCGGCACCGCCTGATCCCAGGGCTTCGCCCTCCCCCGGCCTTGACGTGAGGCCCCGCCTTCTTTTGCCCTCCCTCTGCTAATTCAAGCTGTGCGCGGCCCGCTTAAGCTTCTATCGGAAGAGGCTCGCTCTCGACCCGCAGATCAAAAAAGTGTCTTGCTCCGCCCGCTCTGGCGGTTTGGCGGGGGCCGCCCCGACGGCCCGACGAGGCGTGCCGCCGCCCGCCCGACGTCCTCCTCCTCCTCCCCCTCCCCCTCCTCCTCCTCCTCCCTCCTCCTCCCCCCCTCCAGTGGCGAGCCCCTGCGGCCACGGCCACGGACTGCCCCGTGGTGTCCGCTTCTGGGCCCCCACGGAGGTCCGCGCGCGGCCCTCGTCGGGCCTCGTCGGGACATCGGCCTCCTCGCAACGAACATGCTTCACGACCAGGGAGGGGAGAACCCAGTCCCAGGGATGGGGCCGCCTCCGCCTCCCTCCCTCCCTCCTCCCTCTCCTCCTCTTCCTCCTCCTCCTCCTTCCCCTCCTCCTCCTCCTTCTCCTCCTCCTCCTTCTCCTCCTCCTCTGGCCCCAGAGCTCCGGCGATCTGGTTTCTGGACTCCAGGTGCTTTCCCTCGATCTCGGCCTCCCGGGGCCCTCCTCGTGCTCCGGGACCCTCAGCAGTGGAGCTGGGGCGAGAAACAAATCCTCCCCTGGGCCAGCGAAGCGGTCGGGGCCTCAGGGGCAGCAGACTGAAACAATCACAGCGGATGTAGAGGGGGACAGGGGCACACACACAGACACACACAGAGACACACAGAGACACAGACACACGGAGACACACACACAGAGACACAAACAGAGACACACAAACACACATAGACACACACAGACACAAAAAGACACACACACAGACACACAGAGACGGAGACACACAGGCATACACACACAACCGCATAAACACACAAACGCCAACACACACACACAACACACACAAACACACACAAACACACACACACACATGCACCAACACATAAGCACACGGGCACACAGACACACAAACACATACACCACACAAACACACAAACACACAAACACACACAAACACACACAAACACACAACACACACAGACACAAACACACACACACACACACCACGCACGACAAACCACACAGCACGCACCACACACCATACACCAAGCACCACGCACCACACACAAAATCACAAACATAAACGCAAACACAAACACAAACATAAACACCAACACACAAGTACACACGCACACGCACACACACACACCCACACGCACACGCACACGCACACGCACACACACACACACCCACCCACGCGCACACGCACACACGCACACGCACATTCACACCCATACACACACGCACACGCACACGCACACGCACACACACACACACACACGCACGCATGCACGCACGCACGCACGGACGCACGCGCGCACGCACGCACGCACCCAACACACGCACATAACACATGCACACACACAATTATACTCTCTTACATCGACAATTATAAACATTTGCGCACACACTTACACACATTAACACACTCACTTGCACACACTGACACTTACACACGAAAACTCAACCACACACACGCACACACAAGCATACGCACATCTACACACACACGCACACACACGCACATACGCACACACACACACACACGCATAGACACATTTACACACATACGCACGCTTACACACATCTACACGCACGCACACGTACACACACTTACACACACACACACTTACGCTTACACTTGCACACTTACACATACACACGCACACACATTCATCGACACAAATCCCCGGATGCCTCAACTTCTCTGCATATTTACTGGATTTCGTCTCCACCCCACCCGTGGCAGCGCATGCGGTAAACAGCGCACCCAACATCCATCTGCGAAAACACCAGCTCGTCCTCTGGGAAGAGCTCGATGCTGGACCGCGCCCCAAGGGTCGGGAGGACGGTATGCGCAGCCTCCTGGAAGCTAGCACGCATCAGCCTGGTGTCCAGAATCACGCGCCGCATCCCGTTCTTTTTCTGGGCGAGAAATATGCTAACAGTCGCTGGATGGTGCGTCCGAATCGAACGCGAGCCCAATGGGTGCATGTTGGCGATCAGCTTTGCATGTGTCATCGTGTCCCTGGCCAGCGCGGGATCAGATAAAGGTTTGGCAGGACGTTCTGAGTAGCTCAGATCGTCGTGGTCGCTCCGCATGAGCGTCTTGACGCAGTTGTTCCGATTGTGAAGGGCATCGCCACTCGGCGCCTCGGCACCGCCAGCGACTCCGTCCGCCTCTATAGAAGGCAACGATATCATATAATGCTGCAAAGTATCGCAGGGATCAACGCTATCACATCCCGCTCGGGTGCCGCAGAGCTCCTGGAAGGCTTCCACGGCCGTGCAAGGTAGAGGCGGACTGGCTCGAAATACGTGGACGAGATGCTGATGCGATTCCCGCTGTGCGCGAGAAAGCCTCAAATAAGACTGGCCCAGCTTGGCGCCATACAAGTCGTTGATGCAATCTACCGCAGAATTGTCAGCAGCCTGCCAATAAAACTTTACCTTCGGCCGCCGTGCAACTGACGCAGACATGGCACCAATAAATCCTGAATTCGTCTGCCAATGATCGCAACAACGGCGCCGGCATCAGAAGGGGCTCCCCCGCGACCGCCGGCAGCCCCCGGGGCGCGCGCCGGGCGGGCAGGCCGGCTCGCGTGGTGGTCATCCCTCTGGAGCGGCGGCCAGGCCCGCCGCTGCCTTGCCCCCCTTGGCCTTGCCCCTGGGCTTGGCCTTCGGGACCGCGCCCAGCTGAGTAGCGCAAGCCAGGCCCCGCAGAGGGTCGACAGCGGCGGCCGCAGCAGCGGCGGCGGCCTGGCTGGGCGCCACCCCAGGCAAGGCACGCGCAAGCTGGCGCTCCTCGCGGAGCTAGTGGCGCTCCTTGGCCGCCCTTCGCTCGCGGTGGAGCTCCGCCGCCACGTGCTCCTCCAGGGCGGGGCCGAGCATGATCTGGCCTGGCCCCTGGTCTCGCTCAGCCCGACATGCAAAAAATTCGTCGTTCGCCAGGCTGTCGCCGAAGTCGTCGGGGCGGAGCAGCAGGTGCCAGTCCCTGAGCTCGGCCAGCTGCGCCTGCCTCGTGAGGAGCTCGGCGGACACCAGCTCGGGAGCGTTCAGCTGGTCGAGCGTCAGCAAATACTCGAAGCCCTTCATTGCCGTCTCGTGGTCCGAGACCCCTGGGTCCCCGCTGGTGAGCCTGCAAATGTGCTTCCACCACGTGTGCCTCGCCCTCGGGTGCCCAATCCGTCTGCGCGATGAATGTGGGGCACCAAATCACCGTCCGAGGCCCGTCAACGGCCAGTTGTCCCATGCGCTGTCGGTGCAGGAGTCGATGGCCTCCTTCACATCCTTGTGCTTCTTGCCGAGCTTTTCGCGCGGAGTCGCGAGGATCCTGGCGTCCAGTTCGGACGTGGCTGAGGGCCCAGCACTGGGCGTGTCCACGACGATGAAGAGCTCCCCCAAGCGGCTGGCCAACCCGACACCTGGAGCGTACAAGTACTTGTCCTTTGATTCGCCCTCGAACTCTGACTCTGAAATCCCGTCGCTGCTGGCGAAGCACCAAGCGTCTTGGCCGGCGGGAACTGCGCCAAGCCGGGCGATAGCGACACCTCATGCACGAGGTCGAGCACCGCCTGCGCTGCAGCACTCCGCGGACGAGCGGGAGGCAGCACGGCATCAGCAAGAGGCACTCCAAGCCCTGGAGCACTTGCCGCCACGATCACGCCAGGCTCAACGGCTGCGGCAGCAGCGCGGTTCTCGCGACGACCCTGAAGACGACGAGGAGGTCCACCCCCCTGAGATATCTCCGCCTGGCGCGCTCGAAGGGCCTCGCCGAACGCGGCTGGCGTCGGCAGCGGCGAGAACGCGCGCGCCCGATTCAAGTGCGTGATGCGGCCGGCTGCTGAGATCGGGACGACGACTCCGTCGGGCCTCGTCCCCACGATGCCCGCCAACGGCGGGACGGACATCGCCTCGGGGTAGACGTCGGAGTCCGGCAACGTGATCCAGTAGATCTCGTCCGAGTCGGTGTGCGAGTCGCTCCCCACCACTCGACGATGCATTTCCCGAGACGATCGGCGTACAACCGCGAGGCGATGCCAAAAACGAGGCTCGTCCTCGTACTTCGCCTGAATCTCGCGCCCGCCGAGCAAATACTGAGCGTCGACGGTGACGGCCATCCCAGCAGCACTGCATGTGCCGATGACACCCACCAGCGCCCCGAAGAGCAAGCAGAACCCACAGATTTGGTAGGGCCCGCCGAGGACCGAGGAGTGGATGTAGCAGGTCAGCGCCTGCTCGGCGAGAGGCAGCAGCACAGGGCTCGCCAGCGGCGCCACGCCCGATGCCAGGGAGAGGAGCCCCATAGGCGACACCAAAACTTGCACTTCGACCGCAGAAGCGGCGGCCGAGAGGGGAGAGGAAACGGGTCAGATAACAAGTACGTTTATATGTATTATATATATTTATATATGTATGCACATGTCTCTCTCTCTCTATATGTATATATATATATGTATATATATATATGCATATTATATGTATATATACATATATATGTTTGAGGTGTGAATACATATGAATATGTGCATATACATTTGCGTAGACATGTAGCTATGTACTATGCATGTTTGTACACATGTATATGTGTACATATGTGTGTATATATATAGACTCGCGGGCATCAGCTCTCGCGTCGGCGCTGTTCGCGGAGGCGAGCGCGGGACACGCGCAGGTTTTGGGGCACCTCCGGGGCCCGAGACCTGGCTGAAACCAGCGCGCATTCCCCCGACCGCATCGCCGACAACCGCAGTTCAACTTGAGCTACGTCGGCCGACACCTTGGCCAGCGCACGTATAGAGGTAGCACGAGGGTGGAAGACAGAGAGAAACACACATATATTTCTATGTATGCATGCATGCATGTATGTATGTATGTATGTATGTATGTATGCATGCATGCATGTATGTATGTATGTGTGTATGTATATATACTTGCATATGTTTAGTTATGATATGTATTTGTGTGTATATATATATATATTTACAATACTTATACACATTTATATATATGTATATAAATGTATATGTATATTCATATATCGATATATGTGTAGACAGAGAGAGAAACGATCGATCGGGGAAGCACGTGTAATCGGACCGCGTCACGGCCCCCAAGAAAGCGGAAACGCATGCGGCTTGATCGACACAGCGGAACATCCAAAAGCCTCGCGCTGGATACACATGCGGACGTCCAGCATGCCCGGCCATATACCTGGCCAGCCGCTAGAATACACATCTGGCCACACATGTATCCAGATCTCGCCCAAGCTGGCCGAATCATGCGTACCCAGTGTCCTGGTACGTGCAGCAACATCACAGAAGGCAAGCGAAAGGCAGTCCTTCGCGAATGCACACACAGAGCGACTCCATCCGAGTCAATTCAACCTGAGCAGGAAGAGAAGCTAAGCACGCGTGAAACAACACATTTAAGACACTCTTCCCCTTCTCTTGTTCCTCTTCTCATCCTCCCCCTCCTACTCCTTCCCTCCTCCCCCCTCCACCCCCTCATTCTCCTCTCCCTCCCCCTCCTTCACCTCCTCCTCCCTCCCTCCTTCGCGTGCGCTCACGCGTGCGCGCGGGGGGAAGAGGAGGAGGAGGAGGAGCAGCAGGAGGAAAACGGGGAATCTTGCAAACGATAGTGGGATTCACGGTCATGCCAACCTTCCAACACGCCAACGACCGCTGAAACCAAACACAAGGTAATGATTAGCAGACGCGGAATAAACGCCAGAGCATAGATCGAACAGGTTTTCTCAAGAGTGCCCGTCCACGGACTCATGATTCTAAATGCGCACCCGACACGTGATGCAGTGCTTGACACTGCTCAATGGGTCACGCGTGCGATCAACACCGCATGTCCTTCCACGCGACACTCTGCGCGCCACTGCTCTCCATGGCCACGCCGCTTGTCTGCCATGGTCGGCGCCCCGCCTTTCTCCTTGATGGCGCTGTAGAGGGCCTGCGTGGCAAAACGAAGAGAGCGCACAACAAAGCCACAGAGAGCGCCCAGTCTGCTTCACAGATCGGCTGCCGCGCAGCGCTCCTACTGTGCCTCGTGCGAAGCAGTAGCTGGGCCAGCCCACCGCTTTTGGCCACGTCCGAAATGGGGGGGTGAACCCACCGCTCGGCACGTCCGAGATGGGGGAGGGGTAAGACATGGGGACGGCGCTCAGCCGCAAGTGTGGCCCAAACCGACAGAGGCCGCTGTTGGGTGGGGAACTCTGCCTCGAATGGCCATCGCCCGCGTCGACACCGATAGCGAGTCCTGCGCAAATGGGCAGGAACCGCTCTGGCTCTTCGCCCGCATCCTCTACGTCCCGATCTCGATCGCAGCGAAACGCACCGAGGCTACGCAGCATGCGCCAACCGCTTGCTCCAAGATCCGCGTGTGCGCGCTCTGCGGAGAGCTCGTGCCACAAGCGGGCCAGCCGCACGCAAGAAGGGATCATGGGCATGAGTAACCTTTGGCGCGCGGCTTGCCAATCGTTGCGGGGGTGCGACTTTGGGTGACCCAAAGGGGGTCCAGCTGACAGGGGGTGGTGCAATAGATTTGGGGCAACTGTATTGCAAAGGTATTGCGCCAGAGAAGCGCGTTGCATTGTATTGCAAGTCATGTATTGCAGGCGAACGTACAACAAGACATTGCGCCCCGACATGTCTTGAACGCCCCAAACGCACTGCAGCCCCACAAGTCTATTGCACCAAATCTACTGCGCCACCACTTCGTCGCCGGCCCCCCTTGTGGGTCAGCCCGAGCGACGGCAGGGGCCTCCCCCTCCCCCCGCGCCTCCGCAACATGGGTATATCAAAGTGTACTCCAGATTTCGTAATCAAAGAGAGGGGGTCTGGACCCTCCCAGACGAGAAGTTTTAGACCCCCCCCCGTGGGAGAACCCTCCAAAACATCGTCCCCAGACCCCCCGAGGCCCTCCAAGATAGCCTGGAAGAGACCCCCCCCGAAATGAGACCCCCCTCCCTTTATTACGAAAGCTGGAGTACTTTTACCGCTACTCTCCGGACCTCTGCCGGGGTGCGTCCTGACCAGAGCTTCGAGGCGAGCCCGGGGGTGGCGCGCCACGAGGGGCTCCCAGGAAGTCCCCAGAGCAGAGAAACGGGGAAACCGAGGCAAGGGTAGCGGTATCGATGCCTATTCTCCTCTGACGAAAGTCGCGCATCAGAGGCCTCTTCAGCGAAGGGTCACTCTTGCGTGCAGCAAGGCGAGGCTACTTGAAGGTTGAAAATACCTAACCGGTACGGTGACTGACCGTGCGGTGCCCGCCGGGATTCCCAATGACCTCGCCGCACGGTCCGTCAGCACACTGATTGGGACCCCGGATGCCCCAATCGCCCTCGGAGAACACGACACAAACCAGAACCGTGCGGCCAATGCGAATCCCCAACGACTCGCCACACCAACCGTCCTCCGAATGTTCTGGGCTTCTGGGCCACAGCTCGTGTCTCCGGCGGCCGTTCGGGACGATCCGGGCACCCCGAGAACGCTCTCGGCGAGACGCAGCTGCTGGAAAGCCTCCCGAGGCGGCAGAACCTCCAGGAACCGACGACAACGCGCGAACACCCCTTGAGCTTCGAACCTCCGAAAGCACCCCACTGTCTCGCCGCGCGGGTGCGGTCTCCGCACCGTCTGGGGGCCGCGGGCAGCGAGGACCGCGGGCCTCCCCCGGGCCGCCCCGGCGGCCAGGTCGGGACTGCTGCGGGCCAGCACGGCCCACACACAGCAGCAGAGGTCGGCGAGGAAGCGGGCTTTCGGCTCGCGAGCTCTGCAACGACTGCTGATACAATCCCTGAGGGGGAGGGGGAGGGGGAGGGGGAGGGGGAGGAGGAGGAGGAGGAGGAGGAGGAGGAGGAGGAGGAGGAGGAGGAGGAGGAGGAGGAGGAGAGGAGGAGAGGAGGAGGAGAGAGAGGAGGAGGAGGAGGAGGAGGAGGGAGGAGGAGGAGGAGGAGGAGACGCGGGCGTTGATTTTTCCACACCAGGCGCCTCCGCCCGGCTTCGGGCCCCCAACGTGCCCCCAGATTTCTTGTGGCAAGATTCGCTGTCGCGCTTGCTGCAGGCCCCTCCTCCTGACCTGGGCCTCGGCACGCTGATATTCCCACACAGACAAAAACACTCGTGGCAAGACTGGGCGAAGGCGCGTGAGACAATCTGGCCGTGGGAAGCGGGTCCGGGACCCTGGGGGCTTCCCCCAAGACCAGCCTCCCATCCTTCGTCGCTTTTTGAAGCCCCGGGGCCCGTGGAGTGCCTCGAGAGCCCGAGGAGGGCGAACACCTCAGGGCCCATTCCCCTCCATACCTTCTGCGGCAACTCATGGGAGCCTCCCATGCCATCTTGTCGGCTCTTGCGAATCGATGCTAGTCGACGCTAAATCGACGCTGATCGACGCTAGATCGACGCTGGCCGACGCTAAAGCGGCGCCATTTCATCGATTCCCAGACGCTCATGGACGCTGCTCGACGCGAAGAACGGAATTAAGAGGGTATACCAGGCTCCCATGATTTGCTACCGAACATGCCCGCTTGCTTCACGGCGAACGGTTGTGGCTACAATACCTTTCCGCCCTGAGTCTTGGGTTTGCACTGGTCCTCCTCCTCCTCCTCCTCCTCCGCCTCCTCGTCCCCCTCCCCTCCCCCCTCCCCCTCCCCTTCCTCGCTCCTCCCCATCCCCGCGGAGGCGGAGGAAGAGTGTGCGAGGAGCGAGAGTGCTCGCTCCCCGCTCCTCGAGGTGCGGCAACCCAAACCGGGGTGACGACGCTGGCCACCCGAGCGACCCCCGCTGCCAGGCCCCCCAACGAGAGCTCGTGGACCCCGCCTCTCGAGCGCAGCTCGCGCCGTGGGGGCTGCTCGCTTGTGGGGCCCCGGGGCCCGGAACGAGGCTCCCCCTTAGGGTGCTTGGCCCGGAATGCCACCCGCGCCGGCGCGGAGTCGCCGCGTCGCGCCCCGGCGGTTCGAAGGTGGGGGCCCCGAGGGACGGGGCACTGCGGAGAGTGAGCGAGTTTTTCTTACTCGGCGTTTCGACACTGGGAGGAAGGTGTGTGGGGGGGGGGTCTGGCTCCGGACCTCTGCTTCGTGCGACTGTTTGCGACAGTGCTGCCTCTGGGGCAGACTCCACCCGCTCGAAACAGGCGCCAAAAACAGCCAAGATCTACTCCATGGAGGGGGGGAGGAGAAGGGGGTGCGAGGGCCCGCGCCGATCGGCAAAGCAACGATTAAAACAACGACCACACAGGCAGGAGCCCCTGCATTGTTGGAGGCCCCCCTCCCTGAGGCCTCATCCCTCAGAGCCCCATCTCCAGGGGAGGAGGAGGAGGGGCAGGAGGAGGAGGAAAGAGGAGGGAGGAGGAGGAGGAGGAGGAGGAGGAGGAGAGGAGAGGAGGAGGAGGAGGAGGAGGAGGAGGAGGAGGAGGAGGAGGAGGAGAGGAGGAGGAGGAGGAGGAGGGAGGAGGAGGAGGAGGAGGAGGAGGACGAGGAAAGGAGGAGGAGGAGGAGGAGGAGGAGGAGGAGGAGGAGGAGGAGGAGGAGGAGGAGGAGGAGGAGGAGGAGGAGGAGAAGGAGGAGGAGGCCTACATTTCCGACGGGCCGCGCGGACTTCTTGGAATCGGCGCTGGGCCTCCATCCCTGGCGCGAAGGGGGCACGCCGGGGGCGGAGCCGGAGGCGCCGCGCCAGGAGGGCCCGGCGCAGGTCCAAGACAGCCGCGCGGGCAGTCGACAGCTTGCCCGCCCGTCGCAGAAAAAGTCGGCAGAAACATGAAGTAGGAAGGCGTACGAAGCAGATCGGGCTCGGGCACGCCCAGAAAGCAAAAAGCAGCAACACACACCGACTGTTGAAATAGGAAGGCGCCTGAATCTTTTGGAGAGAACGCGTTCCGTGGACGCTCCAGATTTCGTAAGAAAAGGGAGGGGGTCCCAACCCTCCCAGACGAGAAGTTTTAGACCCCCCCCCGTGGGAGAATCCTCCAAAGCATCGTCCCCGGACCCCGAGGCCCTCCAAGACAGCCTGGAAGAGATCCCCCCCGAAATGAGACCCCCCTCCCTTTATTATGAAAGCAGATTGGGTTCGGGCACGCCCAGAAAACAAGAAGCAGCAAAACACACCGACTGTTGAAATAGGAAGGCGCCTGAACATTTTGGAGAGAGCGCGTTTCGTGGACGCTCCAGGGGGGGAGGGGGTCGAATCGAGGGGGGGAGGGGGGCTACCCCCGGCCCCAGGAGCGAGAGGGGAGGCTCAAGACTGCCCAAGGTAGGGGGCCACGTGCGAACCCCACTCCTACCCCCAACGATTCCTGGAGAGGGAGGAGGGAGGGAGGAGGAGGAGGGAGGAGGGAGGAGGGAGGGTGGGGTTCACTTCGCTCGAGAGCTCCCGAACGAAGTGAACCCC